ATATGATAAGATTTACTGGCATGTCCAAATGGGTAATCTTGTTTATTCACTGTAGCTGTTTGGATCCCAACATCACCGGGAGAATTAAAGCCTCTGAATCTCAGCAGGAGGTCAAGCGGAAAAAAAGGAAATGTAGTTTTCTATCTCTATTCTGCCTCCGTGTTGGTGTTCATTAGTGCTGTAACAGCTGATATTATTTTCATTGCAGCTCACTCTTATATTCCCTCCTCTGTTATGATCTCACTCAATATGTATCCTTCACTTTCTGAGCTCAGTCCCTTTGTGAGTGGATGTTTGTTGAGTAAAATGGGTAGAGATGGACTCCTATGGGAGGACTGTATACAGGATGTTTGCTGCTGTTTCTCCAGTGGCACAGCAGGTGCGACAGCCATGTTTCACATGCAACCCTGACTTCTCAGATCCATACCATTGATTCAACATCTGACCGGCAAATTTCTAGATTGTCGCTGAATTATTTAATTAATTAGTTGGAAAAAGCCCCATGGTATCTGAGCCAAAGGGGCGACAGAGCTGACAGCCTGCAGGTTAAGCAGGGTGGTGCATTCAGTCTGTCACATGACTTAGCTCTCTCTCTGCATAAGACCTGCATTTATAAGAGGCTTGTACTGCTTTTGCATCCTCCTATCAATCCTTTACCTTCATTCAGATAAGCCCTGACCTTTACCACTTATTCTTATGTGGGAATTCTAGCAATGCTGCGAGTTTATCTAAAGCTTTTTTTTTTTTGGATCCAAATCCTCTTTGCAGATCTTTCAGAGACATTTGACATACTTTATTATGATCTATGTCACTTAATACACCCTGTCCTGCTCTCACCCAGAGACCTTAGAAGGTAAAGATCGACCCACATCTGAGCTGCTCTCTGGTCAGAAGGTTGTGAAATAGGTTGAGCTTAATCTGTGATACAATTTCGCCATCCTTCAGTGAGAGCAGCATGAAAACAATCCCAACCGAGCAGATGTAATCTTTGGATTCAGATAGCAGCAATATGTAGCGGGCCACAATGCTGGCACAACACAGCTCAGACATGGCAATGTGCGCGGCACGCCACAAACAAGAGTGCGCTTCTGTCCTCTTGGGGCCGACAATCTCTCCATCAGTGAAGCGGTTGACTCGCCAAATCAATTCAGCAGCAAGGAAGAAACGAACCGCATTGGACAAGACATCTTAGGTGACAGAGAGCCTTTATTTGCTCTCTTTCTCACTTTCACTTCCTAATAGATAAGACATCAAGATACCCACAGGGAATTGTTTGTGGTGGTGTGTCTGTGTATGTGTGGCTGAATGGCGTGAAGACAGAGGTGGTGGGAGGGGGGATGCAGGTTGTGTGAGATTGCATCAGCCGTAGTGCTGAATGTGGATTCCTGGATTTCACTCACGTATAGTGGGGCCATTGAAAGGAAACAGGTGGCAGAGTACGGCGGGGGTGAGGGAGGGGGGCTATTGTAATTAATGCTGCAGATGCTGCTTTCTGCAGCGCATCTGGGCAGTGCTCTCATTTCAAGAAATCTTCACCGAATTCTCTGCAAATCCCTGCAGGCCTTCAGAATCCCTTTAAATCCCCCTGCAACTTCCTCTATTTCCTCTTGTTTCTTGACCATCACCTCTTCACTCCTGCCACATTTCTTCCACTGCATCTGATACAGCGTTTTATCCTCTCCTCTCCTCTTTCTCATTTACTTTCTTTTTCTTTCTTACCTCCATAAGTCCCTCAATTTTTCCAACCTTGTAATGTCTACTTTCTTTACCTCCAAACTACTCACCCCCACCCACGCCCACATACCTTTGCATAGTTTTAGCAGACCAATCACATGTGTTTGTGTGGTCACGGTGGTAGGAAGCCAATCCTCCTCTGATTACACTGCGTTTAGGATTAGAGGGAATATGCTCTAACATATTCAGTCTGGTATTATTCTGATATCCCCTGATGCTGCTTCACGAGAGCACCACTGCCAGGCCAGGACACTGCCTTACCATGCGCAGTCTGTGCAGAGCACCAGGTGAAATATGGCATCAAAAGCATCCAAATAGGACGACTGGGAGTTCAACTCTAGAGCAGAGACGGGGAGAAGACACTCAAAGATTGTGTGGATTTAAGTAAAAAAGTTGAGAGCTTTTAAATAATACATAGGCCAATTTTAAGGGCCAGAGAAAATAACTGAAATGATATACTATATGCAATATCATCTGTTCTACTCCACTCCGCTGTCATTTTGTGAAATTGCGACATGCAATACTTCCAGAGGGAAAAAGCGGACATATTTTTGATTTGCATTTGTTCGTACATCAAGGGCACATTAAAATAAGGGCAAAGAATTCAACAATCCTCTGAATTCTCACCCCTCTTATCTCCCTCAGCTCGGCAAGCGCTGTGCCAACCAAGCGCTGGGGTAAAAAAAAGAGCATCTTTGCATAAAATAGCAAGCGAGCAAAATCTAAAACAGTTGGTGAGGAACTCTAAATAATCACGGTGCTTTTGGAGACGAATGCATTAGCATAACTTAGTCCCAGCGAAGTAATCACTCGTCTCAGGGTGAGAAGATCCCCTCCAGGCTCATCTCACTCCTGCTGCTCACATCCCCCTGAGTTCAGCCTCGGCAGAATGACTGACCCCCTGAGAGTGAGGGGGAGATAGGACACGTGGAGGAGAGGAACAAGTTCAAGACCCCTGATGGTTTGAGCAAAGTGCCTTGGGCAAGTGATAAGATCATGCATTAAGATGGATACATCTGCTACTGAGCTTTGTTTGGTCTGTTTTTATTCTCACATCACTGCAGGAGTGACCACATGTACTGATGAGAGAGAGACTGTGAGAGAAAGAAGATACGGCCAAGTGAGTGTGAGTTCTTAAGTTTACAATTGGAAGGTTGTATCTTGATAAAACATATAAATATATCATTTCTGAAGTGAAGATTAATTTTTTTCTGATTCTTTTTTTGGCATCACTCTGCATAAGGGGGTCAAATAAAGGGCTCAAATCTTTCAGTGAGTTCAGTAAGTATCACTGTAAAAGTTAAGAATTTTGCAAGCAATAACAATGTACCCTCTAGAAAATAGCAAACATGCACTACAGTAGGCTAGCTTTTTTAAGAACAAACACATAATTCCAATGGTAATTTGAATTTGCAGACTATATGCCAGGAAAAATGCTTAATTTGACATACAAAAAAAAAAAAAAATTTGAAAACCCTCATAGGGAATATGCAAGGCCATCACAATAAAGCATGTTCAGTAAAAACGATCTTACATGAGCTATAAAAAACAGATGCTGACCTGACATAGATGTGATTTTTTAATTAAATACCAGATGTATTTAAAGAGCTAAATCTAGAGACATTGTCTAAGATTGTCATAACAGCCTCGATTCCAAGAAGCTTAGAGATTTCATAGCCTACTGGAGACAACAAAATACGTCACAAAGGTTTCACAGTGTGTGTGAGAATGGGGAGGATGTGTGCCTTGGAAAGAGATTCATTTTTTTCTCATAGACATGACAGGAGCTAAGTGATGCTGTTTCCGTTTCTAACATACCTTCAAAGAAAGGATAACAAGAAGAATCTGCTAGTCTTAGAAACTTCAACAGAACTCTGCCCTAATCAAACCATGGGGGCAGTTATTCCAATTTTAAAATGCAGAAATAAACACTGATATTCATAGACCAAAGGCCAAGCCAAGTCACATAAGAAACAATATGTTTGGAGCAGCAAAATGTTTGAATGATTTATGAACAAAACCAGGAGATGACTTACATACCCTTTTGTTCTCATGTTTGACCTGCTTTAATATAGTTAAAGTAAAACTTAAAATCAGAACTTTTGACAGAAAGACCTTCTGTGCGGCCCCAAATACTAACCACAAACAACCAACAGGTGACTGTACAGACAATAAATACTAAATGGAGGGAATTCCCAATTATTCAAAGCACTGCAGGCTTTCTCCCTGCTGACTGTGTGATAAGCTTTACTGTGGGAAAACAAAGTAGGCTACAGTGGGTACTGGGTAATATTTCCTCAGCACAACAGCACGAATGTACATCACATAGGCTACACAACAAAGCACCACAAAATAAGATAGCAAGGACATAGGGGAGAGTGGGGTAAGATGAGCCATCTTTCATATTTCGGATCACTACATCAAGGCAATCATAGTTTTGTCTCTAACTAGTGTATCTGCATATATTTCGAGATGTTGTGCATCCCTGCAAACCAACAGAATAAGTGTAAACATAACTGTCTTGATAATATAGCATGCCAAAACAGAGTGGTTTCTTATGCTCAACTTACCCCGTGTATAGAGTGGGTTGACCATAGAAGCGGGGTAAGTTGAGCCGTATCCCTGCTACCCCCCCCACTCTCCACCCCAGCCCTCCCTCACCTTCTCTCTTCCTAAATAACAGTCCCTTCTTCACATTCATGTGTGTTTTTATCTATTATACGCTACTTAACTGGTACAACAATTCTTCTTATTATCATTGCATATAACTGCTAAAAAGCTGTTTTGTAAAAAGTCATTTTAACATGAGAATGTCTTTAAGTGATTCAGAACATTTACAGCTGTATTTTTGAAAAGAAAAAGTAACACATGTCAACAATCTGAACTGAAACTCTGATCCTAAGATCAGACTCCTTTACTTTCTCAGTTGAGACACTGGCTTAACCTACCCCTGGACAAATGGCTCAACTTACCTCAGAACTACTATTATAACTTTATTAGTCCTCTTTTTGACCTCATGTTGTAGCTCATAGATACCACCATTGATGTATAAAACAAATTTAAAAAGATTTTTTTTTTTAGGTCTGAACACAATTCTAATCAAACTTATGACAGACTAAATTCACTTTCAAGTGTGAAAAATGTTTATTTGGAAATGAATATCTAACCCCTTCACCCATGTGCTTCTAACCGTCACAGACTCCATGAATTGATATCCATCTCCTAAATATTTGGTCACATGATCAATTTCTTTTAACATTTCCAAGCAACAGGACTGTCTCAACTTACCCCACTCTCCCCTACAGTGCGTGTGCTGAGGGAGTGTATTTGACTCACATCATGTCAAGGCCATCATTCTTACTTTCACAGAGAAGACATATCAATGCCTGCCCATGTCGTCTTGCTGCTGGTATTGCCATGCTGTTTGGGTAAGTGGAGGACTGAGCTTTCTCTGTCTGCTGCGGCTGGTGAGCAAACGTTACAAAAACAGGTTAGCTCGTGACACTAGCAGCACCTATAAACAAACTAGCTAGCATTAGCCACCTTGGCAGATGTCCCTTTTAAATTATAGTTTTTCTGAGGGATGTCAGCATTTTTCTCTGCCATCCTGCTGAGCCATAAAAACGCTAATGCCGACTTTTCATACCACCGGTTCATTCATACTTGTACGTACTTTACGTTTTGTCCAGTCCCAGTTTTTCCTCCTCGGGTAACTCCGATGGGGTGCGATACCGGCGGCCCCCTGGAGGGGCGCTGTGCTAGTTTAAGAAACAAATGCAAACAGTAGAGTTAAACCGTAGTAGCATTTAAAGTCGTTATTTTGTCATTAAGTATGGTTCGTGAAAGTCAGCTGGCTGTTTAAGGGGTGAACAGCACAGTATTTTTGGAGGCAAAGTGAGCTCAGGCCTGTTGTCTGTCCACACTTTTGTCCATGGTTCAGAGGCTAGAGGTGGCACAAACAAGCTTTATATATATATACACCCAACAGTCTAAACCAGAATATGACTTGTCAGAAGGTTGTTGTCTGGTAATGAGCCTCTAATTAATTAAAAGTCATGTATCTGAAGTGGTGAAATTATCAGTGGGTGCAAAGAATCAAATGAACCTCACTATTCATTCAACAGGAAGACGTCATGCTTCTATACTACTATTGCTTTGGAGTTTTTATTGTAGTTCAGTTCTTCTACCTATTGCCTAAGATAAATAACTTGTGGATTACAAATAGGTCAATCATTCAGTTTGTTCCCCCTGTAGCAGCTGTTTAAAATCTGAGTTTCAACATTTGATCATTGGTTTTAAGAAGCTTTCTCTGTTCACCTTTTAGAAACTATTTGATTCTCAATCACCTCTCCCACATTAGCCCATTCATTCAGGCTGAATCAATGCTAACTGCTGCCATATCTTTCTACTGTTGACAGACCATACACGAGCAAAATATTTTTCCAAACGCTGACAAATATTCATTATTGTATTGCACTCAGCTGTTAGAGCAAAGACCTTCAGGTTTCATAGCATGTTTTTCACTGCTCTTTCATATTTTTTCTAGGGGGTAGAAATCACTAAAAGCATAAAAATGAGGATTTATAAAAGAGACTTCTATCTCAACACAGCTTGCATCCCAAGATTTTTTTTCAGTGCGACTGCTACCACTTTGCAGAAAGCCACAGTGTTTTCAGATACAGTGACACAGTGGCTTATGATAACCCACAGACCTTGTTATTGACAGTTTTGTCCTACTGCATGGAGATGAACAGTTGGCAGGAAGTAGTTTTCATACAGCTCACAATGAGACATTTCTGCATTACCATTGCTGTCTCGTTTTTTTTATTTTTTTAAGAAATGTTGCTGTTGAGCTTTTTATCCTTCTAAGCTCTGAACACCACAGACCAAATGCTGCTGTGTGAATTGTACTGGAGTATCCTACAGAATACATGGAAGAAAAAAAAGAAGCTCAGAGAAGAAGAAAAGTTTTTGTTGTCATGTTGGGAAGACTGTGTCTTTATACCACTGTGTTCATGTGGGTAATAGTAACAAAGAGTATCCCCATTGAAGTTCCCTTTATTTAGATTCAGAAGAATCAAAAAGAGGGTAAAAGTGAACATTTCCACTGGAGCTCGAGTCTTAGGGAATACAAAGCTCGTTCACGACTGACAGAGGGCCCTGTGTATTTCAGAGTCAGAGAGAAAAGTGTGCATTAGCATATTCATACCAAAGTTCCCTAAAGTGGCACATATGGATGTAAAAATGCTGCCAACTCTATCAGCAGGGTAGTGAATGTTGCATGACTTGCATTGTGTGCATCTCCTCCTCCACCTCCTTTTATTCTGCCCCTTGTGAGATGAATGCTAACTGGTCCATAAGGGAACAGCACTCCATATTTACTTTAATAGTGATAGTATACTGTACTCATGCTTATCTTTCAAACCCATGATACATCAGTTATTTTTTTCGTACCTTCTTCTTTTGAATTTGCTCACATGGCTATTTTTTGTTTCCTTTAATTGGAAGCCGACAGTGTTCCAACAGCTTTTGATAAAACATGTGCTTCTTACTTGCTGTGGGTTTTCAGACCATGTTAAGGATGGACACAGACACATAATAATCGATAAGTGACAAATAAAAAAGATAGCTATTTTCTCGGGTCAACTTTTCTTGTCCTAAAATATGAAACAAAATCTGTCGAGCTTAGTTCACAAGACTTCCCAGCCAAATTTCCCAGTTTTGACTGCAGAACTTGTTGGCATGGTTGGTAGTGTTCCTCTCAGTAGGGTGGCCATGGTTTTTGTATGTGTGTGTTTGTTTGTGCTTATGTCTGTTTGCTGCTTGTGTGCATGTGTTTGGCAGTGACTGTGATTAGGATGGAAATATGTGTTGGCTAGCTGACTTGCTAAATTGTTCTAAATGAGAACAAATGAAAAAGGAGGCCAGGAATAGAAGTTGGGGATGAATGGACACTGAAGAAGATAAAAGGTTTATAGAGCAGTGACAGCCAGTCCTGCATGTGTGTGTCAGGCCTCTGATGTTACAGGTGCTATCGTTTAATCCCTCCACTTTCTCATAGCGCCAGTTGCACGTCCTCCCCCCCCTCCCTTCTCCATCTTCATGCCTGCTTGTGTGTTTGTCTGTGTGTTTCTCTCCTCTATCGTCTCTGTTTCCTCCAGCCCGAGTAAATGTCAGAGCAAGCTGCTGCTCTTCCCAGACCACGCCGTGGGAGACAGACCAACCTCATCGCCGCGGCAACCCTCTGTTCTGGCTCAAAGAAAAGAGGCAAGGGCGGAGAAGAAAGGAACTTTTATGCCTCTAAACCCCCACTAGTTTCCTCATCCCCCCTCATCCTTGTGCATTGTAGCCCAGCCCTGAACCATGTGGCCAAGCTCCCAGGCTTTACTGTGACTAGAGAGGAAGAAGAGAGGAGACTGCAATTACTAAGTAGGTAACGAGGGATTTCTAACAGTCGGTTAGAAAGTAAGACGTTTTAGAAATATTGGCAGGAAACTCTACAGGACATTGCTCTTTTAACGATACTTTATAAATAAATGGAAAAAAAAAATCTCTTCCATTCGAAAATAAAGAAACCCTGCCAAAGAAATTTCTTATAAGAGGAAAGAAAACTTCACTAGAATTACCAGAAAGGCAGCGCAAGGAAATGGCAATATTAGATTTCCCAGAGCACTTCCTTGGCTTGGAGCCATTGTATTTGATTTCAATTTATACCAGCAGGAGGCTGCCTGATACTTTTCTTCTCTGGTAATGGCTTTCTTCTCAGGCTTTCTTGTCACCTCTAACAAGAAGTGCACCTGAAGGGATTTCAGTGGTCATAAGGCGAAGTCGTAGGAGCCCGTCCAAGGACTGTCACTCATATCCACAGTTAGGCAATTTTTTTTTCAAAACGGCACAATCAGTTGTGGGACTAAGTTGAGCAGCAGATATGGCAGCATTCAGCTATTACCCTCCTTGAGGGGAAGGTGGAAGAATGTTGGAAAGACAAAAACTGAGAGAGAAGGATAGAAGTGTGGCAGTGCTGGTCAGAAGTGAGAAACCATCTGGTTGTAGGTGAGGGACCATATTTAACGCTGGCTGAAGCCCAATATTGTGTCACTGGTGCATCCATTTTGTAGCCTGTAAATACTTCTATTTCCCACTCTAAATGTTTTTATTTTTCTCCTCTCAGTTTCTCAATATAGTTGTTTGCAGCAAATATTCACTATATTTACCATCCTTGAAATATCAGTGAGCCAAAATATACACAAAACATGGCCTGTTTTGTCTCTGCAGCATTTTTTCTGCTCCACTAATGTAAAAATATTTCTCTTAATACAGCTCTTTTTAAAGTTCTTTAATTAGATAGCACAGAAAGATTGCATTTGACATAGAGACTAACTCATCTCTACTTTCCTTGACATGAAATTTTTGCAGTATTTGCATTTTAATAGGAATATTTGTGTTTTTGGTAGCAGAGAGGGGGCTGTTCTGTCCAGTCATAATCTGTGATTACACACATGTGATTATATTTTCCCTCATTAGAGCTGATATGTGCATGTGCATGGAGGGAGACAAAGACAGGCTCTTTGTGAGAGCTGCAGCAGGTGTGTAGGACTGAATTTCCATGTGAGATGGTCTGGAGGATCTTGATCATATGAGCTTCTTTTTTTGAAGATATGTGTGCGTGTAGTATTGCAACCATGTTCACTCTTGTGTGTCTGCATGGACTGTGTATGAATAATAGTGTTTTCTGCTTGGCTGGCCGTGCCGGTGTGTGCCTGTGTTCAGGTTGCACATGACCCTGACTCTGCTGGGAGGTCCGTGTCTTTCATGCCTCCCTCAAATCTGGGTCAAAGGATGAAAGAATAACCCCTATCTGCTATGACACACCGGTCTGTATGAAAAATGACTTCCTGGAGGTTTGAGTGGTAACAAGGTGGCATAGTGGAGGACACAACTTTTAAAATTCACCTTATAGAGCAGCAGACACACTGTCCTAAATCGAGATCCTGTCACCTCTCTCTACTGACGTAGTTCCTCACTGCACGAGGTACTCATCTAGTCTTCCCTCATCTCCTTTTTCCTGTCCCTCTCACTTTGTTTCAGCACATCTCACAGCTGACCTTGCATACACCAGATGAGAACGCTGGATTTGCAAGTCGACGGCAAGTCGATTAGGAATGCAGTGTGGCTCAGTGTCTCCTGGCATCTCTATGTCTGTCTCCCCTCGCTCTCACAGCTGTTCATCTCTTTCTCTTGTAGACTTTCTTCTCTCACTCAGTAAGCCTCTCCAACAATGCTGCTGCTCTGAACCCGCTTCAACCCTCAGAGGAGGGAAAAGCCATGCCGGGGCATTTGTGCATGTCAGTGTATGTGCAGGCAAGCATGATTATATGAGTGAGTGTATGTGTGTGTCTCTTTGTGTGGCAGCTAGGAAAGGTAGTTTTTGCCAAAGAACAGAATGAGCATCCTAAGTTCCCTGCAAACCGAGTGGTGGCTGTCATCGAGGTCTTCTCTTAAAAAGAATAAAGATTTTAAAAAAAGGGGGAAAAAAAAGGGAAATAGGAAATTGTTCCTGCACTGGGACACTCCTCTCTGCCTCTCTCACAGCTTCAGCCCTGTGGGCTTCAAGCTTGAAGCAGGGCAGAGTGTGCAGAGGATGTTAAGACCTACTGCCTGTCATAGATAAAGGCTGCAGACCTCCTACTAGCAGTGGGACACAGCCATCTGGGAGGACCACTTGCAGTGCCTCATACCCATTTGACCCCCTGTTGCACACCCTTGTATTGACGCACACTCAGCCTCCTTAGAAGCCCATGCTGGGCAAAGCAGGACACTGTCGGATTGATGGAGAGGTCCCCACGATACGTTTTTGTCTCCGGCAACTTTTACAAAACATTCAAAACAGACCCTCCTCATTACTCCCAACACTGTGTTCATTCTCTCCCCACCTCCTCTTTGTCTCCAACCCTCCACAGCTTGAGCAGCATACTGTTTCTGGACCATTCCCTGTTGATGGAAAAAGGGGGTTACTCATTTGTCATTGTGTGAACAGTCATCGCTGCCTGCTAGGGGTTCATAATGACAGAGAGATGGTTTGCTCTGTCAGCAAGACCTAAAGTGGACCAAAAAAAAGGGGGCTATCTCATACTTCCTGAAATACCAGCGAAATAAGCATTTAAATTACACAGATGTGCCATGTGCTTGCCTCCATAAATATTAAAAATCATGGTTTGCACTTTTCCTAGTTTTTTTGAAGAATGCTTTTGTTCTGTCTTTCACACCCTCACTTGTTTCTTTTGTTATATTTTGCCCTAAACTGTGCAGAAATGTAAATTTAATGATGAGGACTCTCTGTAGTACACTCAAGCTTGATTATTTAAACAGCACCAAGCTATCAGCAGAGAATTGTATCTACAGAACTCTAAAGAGACCGTTTGCTCTTTCAACAAGAATTTGTCTCTAGCCTCTCTACAGTAATGTTTAAAACCACCCACATTGAATATATAATATTTAAAAAAAAAACACATATTTCAATTATTAACCTGCTTGACATTGAGAGCTACTTTCTTCACTTTGTTATTCTTCTGGGATAACTTCATGTTCAAGAAAGCCAGATGTGCTTAGACATGTAAATGACTACAAAAGATAATGTGCCTTTTATGGTTATAGCTCCGTGGTCCGTGGTCAGTTATATGAGAACTTAGTTACTGAATTTAAGAGCATGTCGCTGTCCAACAGAATATTTGAGTTTACCAGGATCAGAAATGTCATTAATGTGCTATGTGGTATCAGTGAGAAAACCAGTCAATGCACCCATCCAATACCTCAGTTAATACGCCCTTTAAGAAATTACTTTATCTCTTCTTCTCCAAAATAAGTATCTACACAGAATTACCATGAAATATAGCTGCAACTACACAGTGCTTTACTGAAACATCCACAGCATATGCCAGGATACTTATCAAGTGATGGTAGAAAACAGTCATCTCAGCTTGTTTCTAGGTGAGAATTCATTCAGTGTCTTTAGCCAGGTTGCATGACAATGATACCAAAACTGTTTAAGTAATATATCAAGTCTTTTGTATTGGAATGGTGGGTACTTGGGATTTACCTTGTTGAATTCAAGTATTGGAATCATAACCAGTAAGCATCACTTCACAAAATCATTGTATTTAGTAAAGTATTGATAGTTAAATTACTTTTAGTCTTGAGTCATTCTAAGAAGCATTTACCTGCAACCCTGGAGCAGAGGCCCCTGGTGACGTTTCTGGAAAAGTCGTAGATGACAAATTTCCTTCCAGTAATTAGACTGAATGACTCAAAATTATGTTTAAAGCTGCAATGAAAAATAATTATTTAATTATATAATTGAATCCAGGTATACCCCCCTCATATGAACATGTACTGTACATTTTGTTTTTATTTTAAAAAAAGGTATGTAAGCAAGTAAACAGTTGTGATAAATTCCAAAATTAGCGAATACTTTTTTCCCAGTGAATTTCCATTGAATCGTCCATCCATCCATCCATCCATCCAGGTCAGGTCGCGGGGGCAGCAGCCTGAGCAAAGAAGCCAAGACTTCCTTCTCCCCAGCCACTTAGTCCAGTTTCTGGGGGACCTTAAGGCGTTCCCAGGCCAACTGAGAGACATAGTCTCCATTGAATTAATCTTAAAAAGTTAAATTCATGAAATATCATTCAAATATCAGTCATCCCAGAACCTGTGCTCAACCAGGCAGCAAAGTCTGGTCCCTCTGAATTTTCTGCCATTTTTACTCTATTTATTTATGATTTTGTTGTGTTTTGTCAACTGCAGGTGGATGTTTCTGCTGTGAGAGGAGTTTGTTCAGGAGAGGAGCCTCTTTCATTGAGACGGAGCAGGTCTGGATGACGGCATCCAGTTCCAGTGGACATCTGGAGGCATTATCGAGGTTGCCATGCTGGTGTAGAGGTGAAGGCAAAGATGAAGGCCAGGAAATGAAAATATAAGCCCGCCGGAAACAAACTCTTTGTTCAGTGTGGATCTGCCTGTTTTCACTCTCATAAGGTCAGTCAGAGATGCTAAAGCTAGTGGCAAGAAGTAAGGAGGGGGTCTAGCTTTCTCTGTTAACCAGAGATGGTGTAACCTTTCACATATAACTGTCAAGGAGAGGATGTGTTGTCCAGATATTGGACTGCTGGCTGTTGCTCTTCAGCTATATTATGTTCCAAGGGAGTTCAGTCATATCATAACAATACTTGTATATATCCCACCCAAGGCAACGGCTGAAGTTCCATGTTTGGATTCAAGTTTCATTTGATTGGAATGAAGTTGGACTCACTAGAGGATGTGATGTAGTAGCCTGGCTGGGCCATCCAGTTGCGTGAATCACTTGCCGTTCCTTCCCACAAGTGATTCACGCAACTGGATGGCCCAGCCAGGCTAGTGATGTAGAGATGCACACTGAGGAAACTAGAGGCCATTCAAAAAAACATGGATCATCAACTTCATGACACCTTGATGGACCAAAAAAACAGTGATGATCTATTAGCTGCAGAATGAAGAGATTCAGAAGATCTTTTGAACCCACAGCCATCAGAATTTTTAATTCTTCTATAAATAGTAGATGAGATGAGATTCTAGACTAGTTAATTTCCCTGTGGGGATCAATAAATTTCTTGTATTGTATTGTATTGCATTATTCAAAACTTTGAGTTATTTCACCATCTAAAGATGTAGGTTCATTATTATTATCCAGGAAGTCCAATCCTGTCACAAGATTCATCACACATTCACATACATGTTAATTATGATTTTTGAGTCCTATCTCAGATACCCTCACCGGCCTCTGGAACCTAATTAAGCAGCTTGAGTGTGTGTGACAGCATCATCTACAGAAATATTTAACTGGTCTGAACAGCGCACACAAATCCTGAAAAAGATGGGACGGTCAACATGCTGCTGAAAAAGGCGTACTGAGACCTGGAGAAAGGCGAGCAGATAGCTGTACAAATCTGCCCCCCAGTTGGTTTCTCCTCTCCAGTGACTCAGGTGCTGATCTCCTTCTATCTTTACCAGCAGCACCACAAGGAGCAAGAACACAGAGCTATCCAGGGAAATTACCCTGTCGACAGACGGCACATTGAGACTTCGTTAGCACAACCATCCAACCTAGTGCCTCTCCAGCCTGATCGAACTGAGCAACTCTCCATGACAGAGTAAACAAAGCAGAATCACCGGCATGATGAGGAAAAGAAGGTCTTTTTCATTTGATTCAATTGCTGCAAATCCCTGAATACCCATGTGGTTTTGTGTATCATAAACTTCAATGAGGGTATGTGAGTGGAAAGCCACAAGTGGAAATATGTCCCTTTGTTCTTATTATGAATCTATATCTTTGCATGTATGCGTTTGTGTGTTTTTCTGCATATGTTTTTGTTTGTGCGTGTTTTTTATGAGGGTATTTTATATGTAAATTTGACTTTCTGCATGCGATGCACCTGTATACAATGAGTCCATATTGATATTTACCTTATAATGGATTTTCTAGGTGGGGTGTTTGTATTCATGCAAATATTTGTGTATGTGTGCTTCTCTGTGCGTGTGTGTCTGTTTGTGTGCTTCAGGCAGAGGAGAATGTCTGTGTTGAGTAAAAAGAAGAAGCGGAGGAGAGGTATAAGTCAGAGCCTGTGAGTAAACAACCTGCAGTAGCTACAGCTAGTGTCAGTCTTCCTACCTCGCCTCCATGGCTGCCGTGCCTTCCTCCTTTACTTTCCATCCTCTGCGCTTAAACAAACACACACAGCAATTGTGCTGCCAAGTTACTGAAAAACTCGTTCAGCAAACTTCCGGGCTCCTGCAACTCTGCTCAGCTTTTTGTGCCTAAATTGATAATTGAATTGACTATCGCCATGTAATCAATTAGGGTGTTCATCCCCGGCTCTGATTCAAACAGTTAATTGGCTTGTGCCACAGAGAGGCTGAGACGAAGAGCTGACTGGTGCAGGAGGGACTGTTGGATTACTACAGATGGGCTCAGACCTATTTGCATTGTGTCTGACTTTAAGTCCTTGATTGCCTTTCCTGGTTCAGAAATTGCCTGGATGCGAGCAGCACACAGGTTGTAAAAGGACCTCGGTGACAAATTCTGCCTGTTTAAGTGAAGAGGGTGAGGATACATATAGAGTGTGCACAGCGGGTTATCTCTCTGCTTTGATCACAATCTTTCAGACAGATGCATGCAGGTTTCTCTTCCATTAAACACCCTTTGTTACTTTTTACCCAATGTCCGGAAAAATTCTTTGCCACCTGCAGTCAGCAGTGCTTTGTCTGAGCACACAGAGAGCAAAGCATTTCAAGTCCAAACAACCCTGCAGTATTGATCCACCCCACACCTTATTCCATTTTGTCCTCTAAAACATGCCTTTTCACTCGGTTGACTTCTATTCAAACCTATCCAGTGAGACCTGTGTCAATGGGGAAGCTTGACTTCATTCCATAGCTCTGGAAGCCCCCTGGGGGCGAAGCATAGGCTGCTAGACCATGACAGGCAGGGGGCTAATAGGCCGGATAGGATTGGATAAAAGAAGTGGGGGGGTTGTTGCAAAAAAAGTTTTAAGACCAGGACATAGCCATCTGCTTTCGTGGTGATGAGCATCAAAGCCTGAAGGAGCCCTGTTGGGTCTCTCTTTCAGATGGCCGTCCTACATATGGGCTTCATATTTCACCAGGACAGACAGCCGGCAAGGACCATTGGGCCACAGCCGAGGCCGCTATTCTGTCTCCCTGCATGGTTTCCAGCCTTTGAGAAGAGCAGCAAGATTACTTTTATTTCTCCTGAGAAATGTGGCTAATAAATGACCAGGCTTGACCCAGAGGAGTCGGGGCCCACACCCCCACCTCACTCAGTGAAGGTATGGAGAAAGAGGGGCTCTGTGGGTATGTTACTATTGAGAAAAGTGTACAAGAAATGGGTCAGCACATGGCTGCAACGACATGCTCCCAGGGTGATTAATTATTGAAGTGACTAATACTACATTTGCCTGGCAGCACCAGGGGCTTCAGTCCACATTGGTGGCACCATAACAATAATCAGCCCTGCTGCATCTTTTATAACTATCTACCCCTTTCCGCGTCTCTCTCTGTCTCCCTGACTTCCCCTTCATTTCATCTCTTCTTGTTATTTTGCCCTCATGGATTCTCTTCTGTCTCTCCTACTTGATGAACACAGGCTAATTGTGCCTTTTCACTCGTTCTTCCCATCCCTGTCCCTCCCTTCCGCTGCATATTTTAGGCCCCTTCTCTTGTTTCCTCCCTGTCAGAAGCGTAGCCTCTATCTATAAGTGTGCTCCTTGTTGAGAAATTTGAAGGCCAGACTATACAATATCCGTGTTGATGGAAACCAGCCACTTATGTCTAACTCTGCTTTTCTTTCGCCTTTTCGCAAGACTTTGCCTGCCTCAAGGTAGCATATGGCATTCTCTCAGACTGCTGGACTCGTTGGCCTCCCACACAACACAGTGCATCCATCTCTCCCTCACTCACAGCTCCTTTATGGGCTCTCCAACAGTTATTTTCTCCCATACCCCCTCTCCCCTGATACTGAGCAGAGCCCCATCCCTCCACATTCTATTTCACACAGCCACACTTCAGTGACGTTCACTGCAGAGATGGCTCAGGTCTGGCAGTTGGTGAGAGGAGGGCGGTCGAGACTGGAAGGCACAGTCATTAGTTAAATATTAGCCAGACTGTGCTCTATTCCCCCTGCATTTGAGGGAGGGGTGCAGGAGTCATACCCTTCCAAAACAATGGGCCATAAGGGGATGGCTTTGTGCCCTCATGCTCAGAAATATAGTATGTGCACACCAGGCTACCTTCCTTTCTATCCCATACAGATGGTATTCTCTTTGTTATGTCTTGTACATAAGGTACAGTACATCACACCCCTTGAGAGATGGATAAACCTTACCAATGGTGCAAGCAGAAGGTGTAACAACAATGTAGGTAGGGTCATAAAGAGGAATAGGCAAGGCCCACAATTACTCAGTTGTACAAAGGAAAACCTGCCCAGACGTAATGGATATGTGTTGTACCTACAGATATAGGCACAATGTTCAGGTCCACTGTGAAAAGGAAGAGATGGTTACACAGTGAAAACATATTTACACCCATTTATTTGTCTTATGGCCAAAGGGAAAAGAAAAAAAGGATGTAATAAAAGTCATTTCCTGCCCAGTAAAAGTCACAGTTAGCAGTTGATGAAAACATGAAGGTGTTTGATGCTCGCTCTGGTGTTTCTAACACCAAGCTGGGATATTTACAATGGATTTGATGTTCCTGCAAACAACATAAAAGAGAGCATCATTCCCCAAATGAAGGAAATAGAAAAAGTTGTTCATAAAAAGAGGATTTTTATACAAATTTGAAAAACTTCTCTGGTTGTTTTAATGAGAGCACCGAGGAAACCATAGTGGTCAGAGTTTGAGGTCTGGCTAAGGGTGATGTGTGTTTCTTTGTGTACGCATCTGTCTGAGACGTGGTGTATGGTATGGTGTGTGGGAGCCACAAGGCGTAAGCATGCAGCGCTCAGAACTCATGCTGTTAGTGTGGTAAAGGGTGTGTGGAATTCATGCTGTGAGACTCAGAGATCATCTCTGCTCTGCCCAGGAAGCCTCTGGTCAGACAACAGCTATCTTGGCACACTCCTTTTTCTTCCTCTCCTATCCAATCTTTTCCTCCCCTTGATTGTCTTCAGTTCAAACGGGAAGAAAAACACGCAAAACATTCAATGAAACCTGTCAGTCATGTAATGCCTATATCAAATGAAAATAACTGGCAGAAGTTATTAAAATAAGTTAAAGTGGTCGCTTTCGGAGGAATTTATATCGGCCTTGAAATACAAACCAGGGCTCTAACAGGATTTCCATTTCAGCTGCCTTTTTCCTTTATGTACTGTAACCTCCATATAATGTCTGTCATGTGGTAGTTCACTCTTCAGGTAACCAAAAGCAGACGGCACAGAGATTGGAAACAGTCTGAAACATAACTCAGTTGTACAAAGTCAATGCTTTCTTTCTGGCAGCACCTAAGCACTCCCCTCTTGTCATTTTCAATCGTTTTTTTTGTGATGTGAGGGGGTGGTGGTTAAAGTTGTGTATTTTAGCTGGTGACAAAACAGGCCACTTACATTTGGCAGCTTTCAGAACCAAAGTGAGCAATACATGCACCTCTGAAGGCACCGACTGTTACTGAGTGCAACCTGACGCTACTGTACTACACAACAGGAGGCATTAAAACACTCGGAAAAAGAGCAACAAACCTTTACAAGTCTGCATTACAAATGATAGATACACACACAGACAGACAGACAGATAGATACACTGTTAGACGGACCCATATGTTTTCAGCTTTGCTCTTTATCTTTCCCTAGGATCCCCAGCAGAGTGCACTGGGCAGGCACAGGTGTGAGCAATTAGTTGGATTCAGTAATGTACTCGGCTGCTCTCAGCTTCTTGCTCTCCTGAGTCCCAGACGAGGTCCATCGGGCAGGCAACAGTGCAATTAGTTCAATTTGGTAGCGTTGAATCATCCAGCAGCAGCCCCCAATGCATATTCTCACTACAGTAAAACACAGTCCAATGAAATAAGCCTAATCCTTACTTTTGGTACAATAGCTTGGTGTTGTATTGAATTTCTCAATAGCATCAGGCACAAACGCACTCACTATGCAGGCTATTTTCAGTTGTTATATTAAGATTTTGATTTCTTTGTGTTAAAGATAACTGTCTCTCTGTTGCAGTTCATACACGGCCTCAAAACCCACCAAATGTTCCTCAGTCAGTCCCTGTCCAAGTTAAGATAGGAATTAATCAGTTAACACATTTATTCACCATACCTCTTTGAAAACTTTTTGTGTTGCAACAGGACTTGGGGTTCTGTGATTTATCATACGGGGATATTTGTTTTTCAGGTTAAGATAGGCATTTAAAGAACACTTGGAGAAAAGACACTTGAGTAGTAGAGGATTAGATGAGATCGAAACCAATATTTATCAGATATAGAAACACAGGAGATGTTAGTGCGGTTTAGCACAATAATAAACAACTATAGGATAAGCAACTAGATGCGGATGATAAGCAATACCTTGTTTTAATGCTAACAGATACTTTAAAACCCTGATTTAAAGTTGCACTGATGCAGTTTCTGTAGCTGTGAGCTTTTTATTGTACCTTTTGTTTTCACCAAGTTGAGTTCACAATCCTGTTAGTTACTAGTATTTGAGCTAATAGTCGTGAGGTACAGATCATCCTACGGATCCCAGGGATCAAATTGCCTGCACTTCTTGTTTCAAACTGGGAAGTCATTTCTGTCAAACCAGAACTCCACAATTATAGTATGATAAGATGAGTTACAAAACAAAAAGATAAGTCTCAATGGGATAAAACAAAACATAAGTGTGATATAGTATGACACGAAATATTATTAAAACACAAAATAAGATGAGATACAACACAATATTAGCCTCAGTCAGCTTTGTTTTCTTTGTTAATTTTTTCATCATAAATAAGATTAAAATGAGTAAACTTTAGTAATGGTGTTGCAGTCTGGATTAGGTTAGCTTGTCTATTTGGCCAAAACTGGGCCCCCACCTTCTGTCCTCATGCTGAGCTAAACTAACTGCCTTCTGTCTGGAGATTAATGTAATAAGAAATTGAACTCAGCATGGTCACTAAATTGTGCAGGGGAAAAATATTTCTAAAATATTCATTTAGCTTTTATGTTAATGTTAGTAATCTGTCTTTCAAACCATTTTAATGGGTCAGGTTTACCTGGTTGAAAGTTAGAGATGAAGAGGATGCTGTGAATTTTGTATCAATGTGTTGATAAAAATCCTTTCAGTTCTCCATTTTTCACTTTCACACTCAGGTCAATGACTTCAGAAATATTTGACATTTGGTTGTTCAGGAGACTACATTATCTCTGGTCTGACCATGAAAATTTAAGCTGATAGCATGTGAGCCAAAGAGGTGGTGCTGATATATAACACACCAGTCTGTTCACAGTAATTGAGGTTCAACCCTCTGCTCCATATGGCATAGATTTGCCATGCAGACATGCACTGTTAATAACGTTTCCATACAGAAATGCTCATAACCCTTTAATCAATTAGTCTTTGGGTTACATGGGAATGTCAGCTGGT